TATGATTGATGTAAGTTACGTTGAACTAGATCAGTAATATGATCTAATAAATTAAAAATTTCCTATTAAGTTATAGTAAATTGTGATGCTGTGGTTATAGTATTTAATTGTTAAATCTGATGTTATTTTTGTAGAATTTGATAATTTTACAGGGAAATTAATAGGAGCTATTTCTGTATTCATAGACATCATGATCTTGTGACCATTAAAATTAAATAAAATGGATTTTCTCTTTGATTTAGTTTCAAAATCGTATTTCAAGAGATGATCTATACCTAATATAAGATTTGTACGTAAATTTTTTGTTACAAATGCTAAAAAAGTTCTTATAATTTCACCTACATAAATATTCGAATGAAAAGTTCCTATAATTATAAACAAAGTTAATTGATCGGTCATAAAACGTTTCTGATGATGCAAGTCTGAAAATTTCGATGGATCATTCAATTTTAAACATTTTTCATTAATAAATGAAAGTTGTGCTCCAGTATCAATCATGGATTTTATTTGTTTGTTGTCAGCATATGTGGTAAAAAGAATGAGAGAAGGGTTAAATAGATATTGAGATGAATAAGTTAAGTCAATATCATCAATGATTGACTTCACTCTTCGAAATGGTAACAATGACGAACTATATGACTTAAAGAATCACATTTAAAACATCGCTAAAACGGTTGTTGCTGTTGTTTGAAATTGCCATTTCGATATGTATTATCATTAAGCAACGATGATATAAAATTTGTTGACAATTCAACATTATGTACTTGACGAAATGAGTTAGAGCTTGATTTTGTTCATATAAATTATAGGAAGATGATTTAGAAATTCTATTCAAATAACGTTGTGGATCAGTATCATTATATGAATAATGACTTTTACAATAATAATAATCATCATCATTGTAATCTCGAAAATAACCTTTAAAATCATTGGTTGATGCTGGATTCGTTGTTGTTGTTGTTGAATATGAGAAAGAAATATCTGTTATTATATCAACATTATCAGCAATTTTAACTTGTTTTAAAAACTCCTATGCAATTTTTGGATAATTTCTTCGAATTGCAATAGATAAAGAGGGATGAAACCCGTTCATAAGATAGTGGACTTTTGTAGATTCATTCATGTGTGAATTAGCTGGTCGCATTAATTTTATCATTTTAGCATAATAATAAATACCAAATTGATGAACTGTTTGTTGATATCGTTTTAATTTTTTTAATGCTAATCGCATTGTAAATGTGATGTGAATGATTTTTTTCATTAATAAATATAGATCAACATGTGAATTGTGCTTGATGCTGTTTACACCATTAATGTGCTTCATAAATTCATGTAATAACATTATCTTTTCCGCCGAAAAAATTCGATTGCATCCTTAACGAATCTATGAGTTTATCATTTAGATATAGCTCGGGATAAGACAAAATTCGATAAATGAGTCTTATTTGCGTCAAATGATCCTGCACTATTGTAATCAGTGGATATTATTTTTATTCATTTTAAATAATTTATAGAATAATTGTCTAAATTATCATCTATAATAATAATTAAGTGTAATAATGAAGACTTATTTTTTGTTCCATAGAAACACCATGATAAAGTGATTGTTCTAATTTAAAATATTCAACTCATATAATTTGTGAACCATAATGGTTTTCTTAGTAATGATAATCATTGTAAATAATTAGGTAATGCATTTTTAAAATTATTCCATGTAAATTTAATATTTCCCTATAAATTTATTTGCCATATGCCATTGTTTACGTTGGATTTCTTCTAGTTCTAAAGAATTATAAGTTTCTGACATGATTAAAATTAATTGTGAAGCTATATATCGATTAGTTGGAGCAGATGAAGATAATGCTTGTTGTACCATTGAAGGTGAAATAGAAGATGATGTTAGTCGTGATTTTCATATAAATTTTGCTGGTTTTGACGTTTTGGTGAACATTGAAGACCAATAACAGATGAGTCAGTTAACTTAAGTGTATTGCGTATTTTCATCAAAATCCAATATTTATAATAGAAAAATTAAAGTATGCATGTGTTTCTCTTTTTTATGCCAAGGTTCGCCATTTGTTGTAGATGATTCACACTTTCTTTATATTTCGTTTCAGAACACGCACATACACTCATAGATAATAATAAATCTATATTATATTTTACAAGTGTTCTTCTTCTTCTTCAGGAACATTCATATGATTGGTCACAGAACGAAAAAAAAAGTATACATATATATATACGTCGTTATATGTCCATTCATTATGTATATGCGTCGTATCTGCTCATTCATTATGTATATGTCATGGGCAAAATTAAAATTCAGTCAAATTTCAAATTTGCCTGAATTTTCCGGGCAAATTTCAAATTTGCCCAGAGAATCGGTCAAATTTAAAATCTGACTGAATTTGAATTTTGCCCATAACATATATATACAGAATATATATGTCAGTCATATTTTATTTTGTTTTATTTTTCTACGCGTGCAGGAGCAACAAGTATCTATGTTTTGTATTATTAAATTTTCTGAGAGTAAAAATAATAAATATTCATAGAGAGGCTAAATATTGTAAGAACTCTTTTATTATTAACTGATTAAAAAGTTATTAGGTAAGTGAGTGATTTAACAATTAATCACTGATTAATTATTTATATATTTATAAAAAATAAAAAGGTCATTGAATTAACATTGTTAATAGTTGTATATCATAATTTTTTTCTTTTTGGTTCTTTTTATAAAAAAATAAGTACATACCTATATTAGTAAAAGAAATTGGCGGTATCGTTTTTTATTAATTTTCGAATCTTTTGTAGCGTTAAGTGATAAGATTAAAAAATTGATTAACTTATTTATTTATTCTGCTGCTAACTGACGACCAATTTTTTGGTTCTTACGGTACATCCCATGTTGTTGAAATCGCTTAAGTTTGGACGATCAATCGCGATTTTTCAGAATATTAACGATTAATCACGATTTCGATCAAAAATCGCCAATTAATTTCGATTGATAAACGATCTTTTTATATTGCTACTAAATTACGATTCAATCAGTGATTTACTTAACTAAATATTTATTGGAGCCATACACTGAGTATTATGTTACTCTAAATTACTTAATTAATTAGTACGCACTTCAATTAGTACTCACATTAATTAGCACTCTCCTAATTATTTAGGCATGGTCTCCATACTTCTCTAGAGTCTACCTAGGGTTTATCCCAATACCTCTTCAACGTCTACCTAGAAGTGATCCGCATATCTGTACAAGACTTACCTAGGGGTGATCCCCATATCTTCACAATACCTATCCAAGGATCGTACTCATACCTCTCCAAGACCTACTTACGGGTGGGCGTCATGCTCCTTCAAGATCTCTATAGGAGTGGTCCTCTACCTTTTCAGCGTCTACCTAAGCATGGTCCGAATAATTTTCAAATGCTATTTGCGGTCTCTTATGAATTTTTAAGAATTATCTATATAAGTATATATCGGTATACCTATAGAGATATAGGTATATGGGTATAAGGGTACCTACAGCAATATAGGTATAGGTGTCTACGTACAGCAATATAGGGATATGGATATTGGGGTAGCTATAAGTATATTGGTGTGGCTGTAGGTATGGAGGTTTTGCATTATTAAATTGGGAGATTTTGATTTACCATGGTTAGGAAAAATTGCGGACAGATCACAATTTTGTTATGGAAATCGGCAAAATGGACAATTTCATCGCGATACATCTCACAAGCTATCGGCATGGGAAATCGGCAATTTTCGGTCGATTTCCATCACATGGAATAGATTGATAGAAAACGAAAATAGAACTAATATAAGAAAAAAAAAAGAAATTATTTTGCTACGAAATCAAATACTAATCTAAATCTGTTATTAAATCAATTTTTCCAATAATCTTAAAGTCCAACTTTTGGCAGGGGCCTCTAGTGAATCATATAATCCACTATGAGAATGATATACATATGTTGATATAGACACACAGAATAAGAAAAAAGAGAAGAAAGAGAAAGGCATATGATAAAGACAGTGTATGATCTTGTGTGTTAACACGAATTATAACAATAACTAGACGGCTGTATTTCGTCGTTTCTTCAGAAATCTTCTTTACATTTGTCAAAGTAATGCGTTGACGTGGTTGATTCCGTCTAGAAAATTCCTTTTAATTCGTTTTTAGCGAATATTAAATTTCTTTTTCTGTCAATAGGTGATACTGTAAATAGGATGTGGAAAATGTAAAATTAAAGCAGAACTTTTTTCTCTTTTTTTCATATATGATTGGATAGATCATGACGAGCAGATCAAGAATGCCCATGGTTTTACTTTTCTGAAAAGAATTTTTCGTAGAAAGCTTTCAATTTTACATAATGACCTGCTCTTTATAAAAAGTATGTCAATCTTTTTTGTTTCTTTCAAACTTCAAAACTGCTTGTTTCAAATTCAGTATGAAACACTAAATATAGAAAAGTCATTTATAAATGACTTTTCTGTATTCACTATTTCACGCTGAATCTGAAATAAACAGTTTTTTAATTTGAAAGAAACAAAAAAGAAATATTGATCTTCTTTTCATAAAGAGTAGGTCATTGTAAAAGTCTGAGAATTTCCCCCAAAAATTCATTTCAAAATAGCAAAAGCATCTATATTCTTGATCAACCACTCACACTCTATCTAACCATATATTAAAAAAAGGAAAAAAAAGTAAGCTTAAACTTTGTATTTTCAGGACCTTATTTATTTTATTATAATCAATTAATTTCGATTGTATCTTTCTTTCACAGTAAAGAGTGAATATCTCAATAATTATTCTTGGACCGTCGTTCAGTTATTGCTAAACTGATCGTATAATTCTCTAGTAAATGGTTTCGAAGTTGATGAAGGTTAATAGATAACTCGTATTCTGGCTGCATATTTCACTACTAATATATTTGGGGGTGGTCAATTTGACTGGTACCCCGTTTTGATACAGTCCTATTGTATGGATAAAACCTACTATTGTCCGGGCCATATAATAGAGGATCCTATATAACCCTGGATTGATCCGAACAACACCATGTCTTATCCGTATAATAGTGGGGAAAAGCTACTAGCCTCAATCGTGAGCTGGTAGCTTTTTCCTACTATTGTAAGGATAAAACATAGTGTTGTTCGGGCTAATCCAGGGTTATATAGGATCCTCTATTATATGGCCCGGACAATAGTAGGCTTTATCCGTACAATAGGACTGTATCAAAACGGGGTACCAGTCAAATTGACCACCCCAATTTAAGAAATAACAACTGAAAGTAGAAGACATTTTCATACGAGGAATCGTTGCTCAAGCACATTTTTATCAAAGACAATTATGTGTAAACAATTATTTACGAGAATGACAAGTCGGGAACATTTTTAAACAGACATTTTTCAAATATCAGTTAAGATCCAATTCCTCAAATTAATCTAATGAAAAATATTGTTTTTAGAGCATGTGTTATGGAAAATATTCAGAGTTTTGAAGAAAATACAGTATATTCCAAAAAAATGAATTCCGATAGTCCTTCGCACAACAACATTTGATGCAAAAGAAGCGTTTTATTTTGATCAATAGATGATTCATCGTTGTGATGCACATTATTTCTTTGTTCTTGTTTACTACAGTTTCAAATAATAGGACAATAAGATACGTGATCATTCTAACTGTCAAGAATAATACAAATTATATCAGACAAAAGAACAAGAATAAGCCATTGTTAGACGAACAATGAGAAAGAAAGAAAATGTAATTACGCAGCACATTCTTTTTCATATACATAGGGCATTGATGATATCAAATAATAGAAAAATATTGACCGGTTTTTAATTTTAGTCTTCACTTCATATATTTTGAACGTCATTTCTCTTTGTTTTATGAAAGGAAGTGTTGTGAAGTACTCTATAAACACAGATAAGGTTCAGATATATTTTCTTTTCAATCAGAAGGTTTACAAAGCCTCAAACGCTATTAAAAAAATCTCAAGGTTACAAGTAACACCAAGCAAACTTCACTAAGCCCTTCGCTGAAAGGAGAATTATATGACAGAAATAAAATGAACGATAATGAAGTTTTGAATTTCTATCGGGCTATCTATTGTTACTGATGATTGGTAGTGTTTTTCATAGTGCTAACATTTTACATTTAATTAATTATAATACAAGAATAGCTGAAAAAAACTGTGAGCATTGCGCTGTAAGTACTTCAGC